AAAAGTAAGGATGATGGTGAATTTCAGATATTTTATTTTTTGGAGAGTTGTCAAATAGTGTCGTAAAAAAGTAAATCGATTGACTATATCAAATATCTAATACAGCCAAACTATCACATTATAATTTTTATTATTGGTGGGAAATTATAACAGAGGAATATATTTGCCATTTTAATATCAAGAACCCTTTCATGTTTTTGTGTGTATACAGGACATTGTTGAATCAGGGAATCCGTGTGTCCACCACGACAAAGGATCCTAACTGACTTTACACTGGCATTGTTTCCATGGTACCGGTACGTAATTTCAACCCATTACGTGCTGCCACCACAGAATGCGGTGTTAAGAGGTCGTGGTCATTTCATGTATTTCTGTGAGATCAGGTTGCGCTAGAGCTACATGTGGCTAGTAGGGGTGGGAATCTTTGGGCACCTCACAATTCGATTACGATTACGATTCAGGGGCTACGATTCGATTAAAAAACGATTATTAATTCATCTTTAATTTATGTATATTGATGCACTTTTTCACAACACACATTTCTTTTTGTCTCACTCAATAAGCATTCAACACTTGGAATTTTTAAAAACAGTGCATTTGTAATAAGAAAGAGTTGAATTCATTTCCATTATATTTTATTAAACATATAAATGGAAATGCATGCAAACTGAAAAGTTACAACTTCGTTGTAAGGAACCAAAGGTAACAACAGGTATCTTAAATCACAAGATAAAATGCGCAGTTTGAGTAACAAATGATTCGGTGGCGACAGACGTCCACGCATCACGTGTAACTGCGTTCCTACCTGCCTGCCTTCAACAGTGAGGCCATGACTACTGTTTTGGTTTGATGGTAGAGTGTCGGTGAAATAGCGTCGGGATGGAATGGTGTATCTGGGCTCCAGTGTATGCAGCAGTGCTCGAAATCCCTGATTTTCCATGACAGAATAAGGACGCAAATCCTTGGCAATAAATGCCGCGATGGCCTTCGTAATTCGCTTTGCCTTTTCCGATGAGGGTGGCAGCTTTCTAATTGCTTCCTCGATTGTTCTCTGGTCGGTAGCGCCACTAGTTGCCGCAGCAACAACAGCCTGCCGTCTCCCTGACTCCTCCGTCAGGTGGAATCGAGTTACATGGCTTCTCATGTTTGTTGTGTTGCCAAAGTATTTTATTTTAGCACGACACAGCTTACATATAACGTGGCTCTTGTCCAGTTCGCTTCCGCCGTCAACGTTGTAGAAGCCGAAGTATTTCCACACATCTGCTTTTAAATTAGAAGAAGCTGTTCAGCTCTCACGGCAAGGTGGGTAGCGGTCAGCCATGTTTGTTTTCCTCTGTGCGCGTCGGCGTGTCTGCTCCAGGTGCGCAACCCAAAGTGTCCCAGAGATGACACGTACTGCGCTTCTTAGTTCTGCATTATTTAGAACCTTCTGTATTACTCTAATTAACAGATTTAAATAATTGAAATTTGGACGTTTGTGAATCGATTCAGATTCGTCCACGTCCGAATCGAGATGCATCTAAGAATCGGAAATTTCCCCCACCCCTAGTGGCTAGTAAGAACTCATCCTCCCCTGCTGATGCTTGATGTTGAAGACATGGAAATAATTAGCCCCATGTGGGACATCAGCACTCCTTATGTTACTCTGTGTTTAGGTCAAAGTTAGGGATGTCGCGATACAAAAAAATTCAGTAGTTGGTACCGATACCAGTAAAATTACATGATTCTATTGAAATATTTACTATTTAAATCACGCTAACAGCATTTGAGCCAACCACAAGAATGTGTGGAATTTCGTTGGTTTAATTTATTGTTTGTCCTGTCCCGGTGCAAATGGCGTTTTTTGACGTCCATGGTCCAGTTGTGGAAAAATCAGTATGGCATCAGTCCCAGTACAATAAATCAAACGCACCCTAATCCCTGTGTTGCGGAAGTAGACAAAACACAGCCAATACTCCATTAAATGTCATACAGCTCATCAAAAAATATCCCAATCAAAATCAGTAGCATAATAAGCAGATATGTTCCATGTTATTTTGTTTAATTTCAACAACACAGAGAGCTGCTTGAACAAGCCGCTGTGCAGTCACGTACTGCTGCAAGTGAAATCCCTGATCGTTAGCTCTGCACAGCTTGTTCAAGCTGCTCTCTGTGTTGTTGAAATTAAACAAAATAACATGGAACATATCTGCTTATTATGCTGCTGATTTTAATTGGGATATTTTTTGATGAGCTGTATGACATTTAATGGAGTGTTGGCTGGGCTCATGGGAGACCTCCAGACTTTCTCCCAGGGGAGGGGCTGGGGGAGAGAGGGAGATGTCCGGTGTACAAGGCTCCGTCCAGCATGGACCAAAACACAGCACGGATGGTTCAGAAGCAATTCGGAACAAGTTAAAAGCAATTAATAAACGGACAAAGTGGTGTTTAAAACTGCATATATTGTGACTGGTGACTGGTTCTGAATATGGGCTTTAGCAGGCAGCCGCTCTCTCCTCTTCCTCGTCAGCCCCTTGCTCTGAATGTAGGCATGGACTGTAATGCTATATGACGTATACTGCCCCCATCAGTTCCGGGAGAGTCATAGCACCGATTCTTATGCTGGTATCGGTTCTTCCAGTTTCTCAAATAAATGAGTATCGCAGGGTTTTTTTCATCATGGAGTCGAAAGGTATCGCGAGTATCGGTTCTCATGACATCGCTAGTCAAAGTATTCCATACGCAATCCTTGGGGAAAAATTGAAACATTATTTTTTCCCCTGTTATCTAGAGTTACTTTTGTGATGCAACCGATGTCTACTTTTTGCCTGTAATGACAAAAAAAAAAATCAATTTCCAATTTCCAAAGCCTGCTTTGTCCTTCTTTCTTTCTGAAAATATTGCATTCTTCATACATACATGAGCAGACAGTTGATATCTGTGAAAAAAAAACAAACCCTGAAACGACTGCTGGATAAAAACTCAAAGCTAGCTACTTGATTTTTCCCCAAAGGTTTATGCAGTAAACGCTATGCAACCAAATGAGTATATGTTGAGTGCTGCTGCTAGGAAATAAAGAGCAGCGGTAAATGACCCCATCCTGAGGCCAAGGGAGGCTCATGAAAAGGTTTATGGTTGACCCTTAAATGGGATCACGTACAACAATTTATTTACTGACTTAAATCACTGACAATACAAGCTGGACTGCGGCCTGATAAGCCAAGTCAGAATGTCTCAGCAAAAATCAGGGGCTCCTAAAGAAAAAGTCAGGGTACAGAAAGAACAAGAAAATGAAAAGAGCAGAAAAGCAGAACACAAATGTCTGGCAAAAAAATGTGAAGAGGCAGCAGGTATGACAGGCAGAGCTGAAGGTGAGGAGTGAAGCAAAGTAATTTTTAGCAAAACCTGCTGTATCTGGCTCAGTTTTAAAGCTACAGTGAAGACACAGGTATCATACTAAATTAAAGGACCTAAGGCATCCATTGGTGGATGGGGGGGGGGGGGGACAAATAATGCTCCAAAGGTATGCTTAATTTCAGTGTAGGAAATAGGTACACTGACATTTTCAAAATGGTGTATTTAAATATCTCTGCATACTGGGGTCCCTCAACAGTCAACAGTTGGAATTGCATAAATTGGGTAAGATTAGAAAACTGAGAGTTGACACCAATATACTCTTTCAGTTCTGCACACAATTTGACCAAAATTTAATTTAAGTAGCCTTAAGATTGAATGAATAAATGAAGAAAAAATAGTATTCATTCACTCCTGATTTGATCTTATGATTTAATACCTTGAAGTAATTTCTTCAATCAATGTTTGATTTAACTTTTCTCTAATCATTCATTGGTGGGCATTTTTTTGTGCCAGGACATACGTGTATACCTTTGCTTTTCAAAATAAAACAAGGAAATAAATCTGAAAAAAAAATCTAAAATAATTTGCCTGGAGCCACAAAAAATATTTGAGCCTTATAATGAAGGTAACAGTCTAAAATCACCCATCAACATAGGTCTCAATGAGCATTAACTAATATGTTTTACCATGAGGTGGCTACTCCGCAGTGGGCTATTTATGATTGTTTGGTACTCAGACTTTTTGGGTTGGCAGTGAAAGCAAACAAATATGTCCACACACTGTTAAATTATCTATTGTCTGCTAAGACTTTTTTTTTCCCAATTGGGAATCCATGCTTAGTTTAGCTAGAGAGATCCAAGATAAACCACCACCACTGAGGTTCAGCAAAATTCAACGGAAAAGGTGATAGGCCATATGACGAACGTTTAGTTGATGAAATGTAAAAACATTTTTTTAATTCTGTGTAATGGATACTCATTTTTACAATTGAGAATCTAAGAATCACTTAAGGCTTACGACAGTAAAAAATGAAATTTTAAAAAGTAGCCATTATTAATTTCTATATAATTTTGCCAAAGCCAAAGGGAGCCACTGGAGAGGGGCGAAAGAGCATCATGTGACTCGGGAGCCCCTGTCCTAAATCCTGAAACACTAGCAATCTGGCTCTCACAGTGGATCTGTTGGCCATGGACGAAGCTTTTTCTAACATAACCTGTAGTCCCACAGTTAAAGATATTTAGCTGTGCTACTAAGATTTAAAAGTAATGCTAGTTTTTTTTTTTTTTTTTACAAAAGGTCATAAGCATGCTAACATTTGCAGCTAACATTAAAACAGATTTTATTTAATCAATTCCTTGCACTTTTACTATGCACCCTACTGAAGAATGTGGAGAAATCCAAAGCTTGGCAGGCCTGCTGTGCCTAGTTACAGTTGCTTAACTGTGGACAGTCAAACAGTCACTTTCCACAGATTCATCTATTTCACCCATGTCTGCCGCATGATGGTGCTCCCCTAACTCATCGTGCCATCTTTTTCCATACTATCTCCTTCCCCATTTCCTTCCATTCTCTCCCCGCCTTCCTCCATACCTCCCTGCGTCCCCCCTCTCCCCGGGGGTCTGGAACGGGTCAACTACCCGCGATGTCGTCTTTGCCCTCTGTGGTAGGTACTTCCATTCCCCAACGGACACTAAGGAGCTGCTCTACGACCCAGCATCCGTGATGAATGGCGACACACTCAAATTCTGCCTAAAGGAGGCCTGGTGCAAGCTGTCCTTCTTCGTCCTCTCCTTTTTCTACTATCTCTACTGGTGAGCACGTTGCAGTCAGTGTGGGACAATAATTGGATTGGATTATTTTACATCTAGGGAGATTACGTCAATTTGATTACAAGAGCTACAGTAAAAAACTATGTAATCAAACTAATGCTAAAAAAAAATCATGAATTAGACCAGGTTGTGAAGGGAAATGATTCAAATGTAAATAAGGAAATTTAAAAAATGAACTCTCACATCACATCATGTTTCCCAATCTATTTTTATCACATAGTTTATTTCACAGCTCTGATGAAGATATGTGAGTGCAGATCACTGAATAAAGTAACCATTTCTCTGGCAATCACATGCAAGTTCATTCACCTTTTGTAGATCTGTCAGGTTACCTAGGTTAGTATTTAGCCCACTAATGTTAATGCATGTGATGTTGGGAGAATTTGATTCTTTATTCTTCACTGAAGAGCACTACCAGAATGCTTATTGGATAGCAGAGGAGTAAAATTGCTATACATTGGTTAAAATGTTTGTTTTTCTGTTTTTATACCTAAGAACGTTATTCTGTGTATGATTGTGTTTTTGAAAATGCAGTTTCTTTTTTGACTGTGAAACTAATGTTTTTGCTATAATGCCTTGCTGTTACATGATAATAATTCACACAATGTCCCTGTTCTTGTCTAATAATGCTGTTATTAATGACTCCGGATTCTTGTTCCATGTGTCATGTGGGTGCTGCAGTGTGTGGAACCTGGATATATCCCTCTAATAAGTCTTATCAATGGAAACACTTAAAGGTACAATCCTTACTTTTTTGACCTTTCATTTTATAGTAGTTAATTGAGACAAAATAACATTTTTAAAAAAATAAGAAAAACTAAAAAAAAAGACTCCAGTGGTCTTTCATATGGCCACCATAGTTGATCTTGATTTGTGTAAAGGTTGCTGACCAAGGCCCTGTGTAAACATATCCAGATATTTTTGTAAACGGATATTTTTCCTCTCCATTTTGAAAAATAATTCCATCCATACAATGTTATTTTACAAAATATCTCTGTCTACACTAGAACCCTAAAACGACTCCAAGCGCTCACGTGTGCAGTGTTCACACAGACAACATTGCTGCTGCAGCACTACTGAAGAGCTGCCTGCTGCTGCAACTACTGTATTTCCATAACTGAAAGGATATTTAGGGAGCCATACAAGCAACTGCATTATCAACAACATGGTCCTGCAAATATTTCACAATAAAAAGCCTTGTGTTTACAAATGAAGGGAATCTTTCCATAGAAACACTGTCAGGGGACTTCAATTTTGAAATGGAAATAGGGAGTGTTGATACAAAACTTACAGTTTTTCATGTCTGTGACAGATGTAAACATTGAAAGTGTAGTAATAGATGATAAAATGTCAATATGAGTGTCAAAACAACATTTTTACTATTTATGTGGCTCACCTATTTATTTTTCGCCTATTTGTTGCTGAAAATGTGTGTTACATGCAAAAATAGGTGAGCCACAAAACTCCTTTTCTCTAGATGTTCTGGAGCTGAGCAGCATCAGAGCCCACCTGTGGTCCAGGCATTAGCTGTCTATCTCTGAAGTGTAAAGAATAACTATACCTTTTTAAAAACACCTACTGGCAATCTGATTGCCAGTAGGTGTTTCCTGCTGATTCCTGTTCAATTTAAGAATGAAGAAGCTCACTTAAACATATGAGTGATGCTCTGAATGTGTAAAAGTTTTCCTTTCACTCCTCATCAACAACAATCCCATTCTGGAAAGTGTCACACCACCTGCTGGTTTGACCGGTCCTGATCCAAAACTGACGGTTTTAGTGGATTTTAAACCCCGGACACTGAGGTGGAGCAAATACACTGGGTGGGTAGATGTCTCAGCTCATTCGTGAAGTGGTGAGTTCAAGTGTAAAGTTGTCATTAGACCAAGCAGTGCTAACAAAACATTAGCAAACCAGTAGTCTGCCATTAGTGTTTCAAATGTTGGCTCATTCCACAAAACAACAGTGGGCATGCGTAATTTGAGTAGATTATATCAGAGTTTTGATAAGTCTTCACCTTAGAGGGCATATTGAAAAGTATCCGTTTTAGTGATCTAAAACTCTGTTTGTGTGTGGATGAGAGGCCCAAACGTAGTGAAAAATATCCATTTACAAAGACAGGGCCTACATGGATTTTAGCTTTGAAGTTCTTGAGACTGGTGTGGAACCATGTCAGTTACTGATTGTTGACATGTCATCATTAGCACAGAAGACTTTTTTTGATGATAAATTATTCCTTTACCCAAAAAGGATTGCAACTTTAACATGGAGTTGTTGTATGTGTGTGATAATCCTGTGAGTAAACATTTGACACATAAAAGCCAGTCCTATCCTTGCAGAGAAATGATGTGCTGCTGCTATGTCCTATTAGGAAGAAGGTACTTTTACAGTGTTAACATGTTTATCACAGCAATACCACACAGGTATAAAAGCAACATCATGAGCAATGTGGCAAGTCTCGTCTTTCTTTTACAATAAAAGGTCCTATTTTTTGGTCTATTTGTTGGTTTGACAACAGTAGCATCCAGTTGACTCAACATTGCCTCCTAAAATCAACACGCCAGTGAGATGAGGTGCTGTTTCTTGTTAATGCTAAGATTTTTTAGGTATTTTTCAAGATAATGTGAATTGTTTTCTTATTAGATTGCAAAATACCTGATTTCATTCCCTTAGCAAAAGCACCATGTTCTTTCAGCTACAGCTAATATAATACTGATATTATCAACAAGAGGATGTCTTTACTTTTTTAACCCATGACCCCTTCATATACAATTGCAGGTTTGGTCACCCATGATCAAAATGTCTTTTACCGTGAATAGTTAAGTAAGTAGAAGATAAAGTGATCTCCAAAAAGCATGAAATTCAAGATATCGTGGACATCAATATTTTAAGCAAGATCAGTGTACTATTTTTGTTTTGTACAATTTTAGAGTGAAAAATCAAAAGGAGGACCATGCAAGAGTTTGGGCACCCCAAGACATTTGAGCTCTCAGACAACTTTTACCAGGGTCTTAGACCATAATTAGCTTGTTGGAGCCATGGCTTATTCACAATCATCGTTAGGAAAGGCCAGGGGATGCAAATTTCAAAGCTTTATAAATACTCTGACTCCTCAAACCTTGTCCCAACAGTCAGCAGCCATGGGCTCCTCTAAACAGCTGCCTAGCACTCTGAAAAGGCTATAAGAAGAGAAGGCTATAAGAAGATAACAAAGGATTTTAAGGTAGCTGTTTCCTCAGCTAATTATGTAATTAAGAAATGGCAGTTAACAGGAACTGTGGAGGTCAAGTTGAGGTCTGGAAGACCAAAAAACTTTAAGAGAGAGGATTGGTAAAAAGGCAAATGAAATCCCAGTTTGATTGCAAAAGACCTGCAGGGAGATTTATCAGACTCTAGAGTGGTGGTGCATTGTTCTACTATGCAGAAAATTTTCCTGTGTCCTCACTACAAAATTCAGTGTCAGAAGTTTGCAAAGGAATATCACCACAAGCCTGATGCATTTTGGAAACAAATCCCGTGGAGTGATGTGAAGTTAAAATAGAACTTTTTGGATGCAATAAGCAAATGTATGTTTGGAGAAAAAGGGAGCAGCATTTCATAAAATGAACACCTGGATCGATCATGCTTTGGGCTTGTCTTGCAGCCAGTGGCACAGGGAACATTTCACAGGTAGAGGGAAGAATGGCTTCAATTAACCCAAACTTTTAATTTAGGCCCTTTACCTTTTTTTTGTTATTTTCAAACTGTAAAGGATTGAATAAAAAGGTAATCTTGCTTAAACTACTGAAGAAATGTGTCATCTCTAATGTCATGTCTTTTGGAGATCAGTTCATCTTCTACTTAACTATTCACAGTATACAAAATTTTGACCAGGGGTGCCCAAACTTTTGCCTGCCATGTTCAGCAGCAGCAGTACTTAATTGTACTTTTAATTTAAGTTTGTGTTCAGCTTTTTTGGAATTCAGTTTTAAATTCAGTGAAAAATAACATGTTGCTTCATGTCCAGAGTTTTCTGAAAGCAGGGCACATGGCACAGATCCTGAACCTTAAGGGTGACTTTTTTTTGTGTAATGTGGCACGATTGTCACATTTAATAGATGGCCTTCGCAAATTATGTTTGTTTCTCACTGACAGCCATAGTATAGGCTACTTAAATCTCCAGTACATACAGACAATGAGATTATAGTATGCTCCCTCCTGGCATGGTATAGTGGTGTAACTTAGGGAAGAAGAGCTAATGCTATATGCTCATTCATTTCTCATCCATTTTCATACCAGTACCTACATCAATTAGTGGACGATGTTAAGTCACCTGTTTTAGGTTCACCTTTTGGTGAATGAAAGACCATAGTGGTTTTGATTATTTTAGCTAATTTATTTCAAAATATGTGTCCTTTTCTTTCCTTTGCATTTCAAATGTTTTTTTGAAAAAAATAATTTTAAACCCGCTTCATTGTGGCTTCAGCAAAATATTAAAATGGGTGTCTGTGGTTGCAAACCATGATTCATCTTGAATTTACACCATCTTGCTTCTCCATTGTACTCCATCCTGTCCTGCTTTAGCTCATGCTGTGTTAGAGACCACTGGCAGCAGCAGCAGCAGCAGTGAGGTACTTCTCTTCAAAGCAGTGCAATGGTCCACTTCCTTTCAATTCCATCATGTTCTACAGGGTGGTTTTCTTGAAATTTCTATTTGAATTTTAAAACTAAAATAAATATATATTTTAATATATTAACTAACCATTTTAACTAATAGAACATTTTGACAAAAAAAATCCCAGGTTGTAGAAAATCAGAATCATCTGTTGTTGTCAGTAAAGTGCAACACACAAGCACCGCCCCCAACACACATTTGGCAGCGGCGCGCAGTGGCACCGTCGACATGTATTTCCCACCCCAGCCCGCTAGGTGGCTGTACCTACACTAGTTGCCAACGGTTGCCAACTGCTAGTAACGGAAGAAGAAGAGGAAAAACTTTGAGGCAA